AAGTGCATCAGGGAAAGGGGGCACTCGACTGCCACCGCATCCCATCATCCCACCGGGACTCCCAATCCGTAGACTTCCATGGCATCAGATGCTGGTGCGCGGCACCATTTCTGCGGAATGTTCCGGAAATGCTCGCTGGCCGGAGGACCTTTACATGCACCCATGAAGAAAACAAATTTTAAAAAATAATAAACAAATAAAAAAAAATTAATGGACTCCCTCGCTTGACTTTCATCTCCTTCTTCAACCATGTGTTGCTAAGGCAACCCTGCAAAGGCCAAGCAATCACTGCGACTGCATGCATCAGACGCCCGGCAACAAGGGCAGCAACTACAGAGATTCGGCCCCGACAGTCCGACAGGACCGAACCGGGCCGGCTCACAGGTGTTTGCTACCAGCGGATCCGGTGAAATGCTGATGGAAGCGTGACATCGAAGCGGCTAGAGTTTACAGTAACATTTACATCCCTTCTCCTGCTGCAGCTGCCTAAGAAAGGTGTCCCTTCAATCTAATTTGGGAGACTGTGAGGGATTTGCAGGTCCTGATTCTCATTCTGCAGGTGTCACACTTAAAACACCTGCCTTTAGGTTTACACTTGGGTGGCAGATACTGCAAATGGGCATAAAGGCGCTTTTTGAAGAGCTCAGACTCACAGACACACACCTCCCAGTCCTGTCATGCCTGAGGCTCGGCACGCTGCAAATATCTCTCTCTTCAGCTGGATCTAAAACAAATGTCGCTACATTCCCAGACTCCCGTCTCAGTCTGCAGCCTTTCAGCATCGCGTCACAGAGGATACATCACGCGAGCGACAACCACGATGCAATCTGTTACTCGACAGGGATGTGAGATTCTGCTTCATATGGAGGAGGAGGATTAAACTACTGTCAGAGCCATCAAGGTCTTAGGATCTTACAGAGATCAATGTTGGCCATCTTACTCCTCAGTTTGGCTAGTTTCAGATGTGCAAGCTTTAAAAAGCATTAATTGAAGAATGAGTGTCAGGTTATCTCAGAACAACAGCCCTTTGAGCAGCAAAATTATTATTGTGTAGGTAGGAAGTATTAACCCTGAAGATCCCCAGGGCAGAATTAAATACATAACGGAGCTGCTGTGTGTGAGCAAATTTAAATGTCATTTTAAACCCCAGTATCCCTGTAGCACTCGGTTACAAGGAAAGACAACTGCTGCAAGACTGCATTGTATTTAAATGACAAAGGCAGAGGTCCCAGGGTTCACCCATCTTTTGGCCCGTCTTGTGACGTTCATGAGTTCATCTAGGCTTTATCTCTGCCCTGTGATCTGGACTCCCGGTCCGCAATGAGTCACACTGCTTTGTGACGCGCCTCTTTTGTGTACGCATGGTCACCTGTTTGTCTTTAGGAAGTCTCAGGGGAACCTGAACCTTAAATCTGTGGCAGGCAGGATCACCGACACTACAAAGCAGTGTGGCCCTTCATGTCGCACAGGCCAAACCGCAGCAGAACCAAACTGCAGAGTGACGAAGGGACATTTAGCCAATCATTCTACTGGAAGGTCTTCGATGAACAAGGAGCACTAGCCTGCTAGCAGCAGACTCCTAGATCTATTTGTGCTCCACTAGGATGGACAAAATAAACAAATGAGGTGCATGAGTGGTGAATGTGCGCGTCTCTGGGCTCTTCTCAATGTCTATGCTGATACATTAACAGTAATGGTAAGGAAACAGGCCCAAACGTTAATCTGATTAATTCAACTAAGTCTATACCTATAGATAAGATACATAGTGACCTACACAAATCCAGGATGAGGCGGCAACAATAACAAAAATAAAGTGTGTGTTCATATAAACACGCAATGTTTACCCGCCAGGATGGCGCGACCCGACACCTACGGGTCTCGTGATTTTCTTGACTTGCAGAGGAGCATCTCCAGCTAGCATGTAGCACGTTTTTGCTCCTGGGATGGAACGATAAGCTTGCAATTCTCTGAACAGCATCCAGCTTTCTGCGAGCTTGCAATGGAGAAGAAGCTACGATATACCTTCATGGCTGACCGGAAGTGATACCCATGGATTATGGGTTATACCGCGCGGGCAAATAGCCAGTTGACCGACCAGGGCTTTCTCAATGGATCAGGTTTAGTAAGTTTAGCAGTTTCCATAATTTTCTTTGTTTCAAAGCATACAAGAATGTCAGCGGATTAAAAAAAAAAAAGGTGTGGACTCAAAATACACTGCTTATTTATGGAAATCCCCCCCCCCCCTCGCAACAACCTGCGTTCAAAGAATCAGGTGTTGTGAAACCCCACCCTTGCTAACATTTCTAACAAAGCGATGAGACATGTCTACAAGCTTTTCCTGTAATGACCCAGAGAAATGGAGTTGTAAACAGAAACTGATTGAATCAACCAGAAAAGGTTTTTCGAGGAAAGGCTGTTCCTAGAAAAGGCGCTGAAGACGGTCTCGGGGCGTTCTGGGCATGTTTGCAGTCTTGGTCTTCTGCCAGACCGCTGAACTCACGAAAACAGCGGGAGGCAAACTGCTCGTCATTTGACTGTTGCGAAACCTCAGATGATAGACATCAGACAAACAGCGTAGGATCTGTTACTGATCACCTGGCGAAGGCATCGTGATTTTAAAGCAAAGCAAAGGTCAGGGGAACTATTTATAAGGAAGAGAAAAAAATTGCAGAGACAGAGGCTCACGGTAAAACGTCCTTCAACATCACTATAACAAGGACACTCAACAGGAATATCTTTCAAGATTGACAGTAATGCATTACCATGGAATCAAAAAAATTCAGGTGCATATTTATGGTTCAGATTCCTAAGGAAATGAGTTGCTGTTACAGCAAGAACAATACACTGATAACACTAAAATGAAAGCGGAGATCCAGAGGCGATGATAGAAGTCCCCCCCCCCCGCCCCAGTCTGGGCTATAACAAAAACATTAAATGAGCTTTAACGTCATTCGCAAGGTGCTGACAGGAGCGCGCGTCGATGGGTATTCAGTGTCTCTGACAGATAGGCAGGGCTCCCAACTTTGGTCAGCTGGGTCGCGTGAGATTTTCAATTCGAGATAAGTCTCCACGCACACGCAATTACATGATTACTTGTATTGTTTGCAAATTACCCCAACACTTCTGATGTAGCTAATTTTAGGTTAATAACGGAATAATATAGAGTCTGAAAGCGTGAATGTCGCCAGATGCGAGAGTCGGCAACCTGCTGGGGGGGTTATCGCGGTGAGGAGAGCGGCAGAGTCATCCCTACGCCAGGTGGGGGGGCTGTTGCCAGGAGCTGACCTGTATTACCAGACAAATCCTATTTGGCGGCTGTGCCCGTGCTGCATAACAGAGGAGTGACCGAGTGGGACCCGTTGCCATGGTACCCTCGAGGGTCTCTCCGAAGACATTGATTTGATGCCATTGTACTTCATCAGCTCTCTGGCAGCAGAGATTAGCCAATTAATATTTGCTGTTTCTGATAATAATAATAATAATAATAATAATAAATAAATAAATAAAAACAATAAGGTTCCATAGCAGTACGTGCTTTGGACCCTTAATAATAATAATAATAATAATAATAATAATAATAGCAATAGGCTAAAGAGGGGAGCGTGTTTGGTGAAGTTTCAGCACACAGCACATTGGGCTTTATTACTCGATTAAGTCCCTTCATCCTGTGTTGTCAGGTCACAAAACACCTCCAGTAAAGAGTGAGGAAACATGCCTTGTCATCAGCCCCAAGCCACCACCGGTAAAAGTAGCGTATTCTTAAGTAACAGCACCATGATTTAACACCCAACGTATTTTAAAAATGTGATAAAACGCGAAGCACCGTGAACCCGGAGGACTGTCATGATCACCTGAAATGCAGCCGGTCAGGCGAGCATCAGCGTAAGAAAAATGATTCTGCTAACAGTGAAGAAGTTTCAAGTTTAGATCGACTTCACTTTTGGGAAATCCGTAAATAAGTGCTTAGCTCATTGGAATCGCTCTGCTTAAATGAGCAGTATTACCGAGTCACTGACAAACCTAGCCGAGTTTCGTTGTTTCGTCAATTTTCAAATGCACTTTAATCAGCGCTATTCAATCTAGTCTTGGTTACAAACACAAAAGGTAAGACCCAACAAAACTGGCTCGGGGGGAAAAAGAAATCTTACGCAACACTGAAACAATAAATCCCAGAAGAGCCATACAATCCCAAAGCAGTCAACAGTAAAGCAGGTAAAGGCGCCGTCGGATATTGTTCCCAGAAGCAGACAAATGCGCATGGAGGTCAGTTAAGTCTGTCAGCTCCCATTCTGCTTCACTCCTAGTACCATCATTTTAGAAAAAGCCGTGAAATATGCGTAAATTAACTGTCAAAAACAGTGAACAAATTCTGTAGTTAACACCCCCCCCCCCCTCATACACACACACACACACACACACACACACACCTGCCCTGGAAGCTTTAATGGAGTTTTAGTGGCACTGAACTTGAATCCCACAAACAGGGATTAGAAAACGAGCTTGACCGCGACACTGACGCAGCAGAAACGTATCTAAATGTCACAGGATACAAGATAACAGCACAACCGACGAAAAACTGGAAGCTGCCTTGCAAAGACTCAAGCACACAAGCAGAAAGCATATTATCCCCGGAATTAAGCAATCCCATCCAAACAGCCCCTCTAGTTTACACAAAAAACATCACATTTCATGCATGAGCGGCATCAATACGGTACAAGCCACTGTCAATCTTTATGCGACACCAAGAGTTGGATTGCTTTGAATAACTCTGCTAAATGGATGTTTAAGCTTAAACTCACATAAGCCAGACCTGACAAATAAACATAGTTTTAAGGTAAAGGTTATCGCGCGTATATTATCGTTCTGAAAATGTACTGGCAAATTCATGGTTTTAAAATTGTAAACTGTACAACTGCATAATAACGACAATAAATCAGAAGAATAATATGGTGACAAATGTGGTTTTCTGATGTTTAGCCGGCATTTGGGAGCAGTCGTACCTCGGTGACTTGGATCAGCGGGATAGCGCTCGAGTTTTTCTTCATCTCCGCTCCTCTTCCTCCCTCACAAGTCGGAGCACATGGCGACTTTACAGCCGCCGCTCGCTGTGCATGTTTCCCGGCAGAGAATAAGGAAACAGCCTTTCCTTCATCGCGAAGAAAACCCTCCCTTCCAGCCGCTCTTGGTAGCACTACGGCGGCAGAGTACGGCACAAAATAACCGGACCAGAAGAACAAGTCAGGTCAAGTCACTGGGCTGTTATTTGGGCGTGGAACGGGCGTGATCTAGCTGTGAAATATACCTGGAAATATTCAGATATTCCAGCTGAAGGTGTACCCTTTAGCTCCTTATGGGAGCGCATTCCCCCGAGAGGAAGCGAAAGGCAGCTATTGCAGAAGAGAGTTGCAGAGGCACCTGACGGTGCAAGCTGGCGGCGTGGCCGGCGGTGCGCTCCTCCCTTTGGGCTCCCTCTGCGGGGCGTGAGCCGTCCCTTACGGGGGACTAACCTGCAGACCCCAGATAAGAGACCAGCCGAGGTCAAAGTGTGCTCTCGATTATCGTAATCGCTGCGTGTTAATTCCTCATGATGACTGTCAGCGGGTTTTGGGGCCAGCGCCGCACCCTCCGTGTAATAACTGAGGAGTAATTGTAATAGTTGTAAATGTTTGATTTTCTACCCTGTTGTTGCACTGCCAAGCTCGACAGGAAACGAGAACGTTAACAGTCTGCAAAGTGAACGCAAATAAAACAGGTTTAGATGTGAAAATAGGATTTACTTCGGAAATTGTATAATTTAGAGAACTAACATTATTAAATGTTAGTAAAAGTAGAACAGAATATATCTATTACAGCTGTTACGTATATAATGTAGCCTAATGAAAACCATTATCAATAGATTTTATTAGGATTATTTGCCAAATTCTTTCACAGAAAATAAAGCAACGTCACGGTCATGTCATACGAGTACAAAGCTCATCAAATACCTCGACATGAAGATTAGGCCATTTGGCGTCTCAGCACAACCATGTTCCGCACCGGCCGCTTTGTAGACATATCGCAGAACTTCGTCGGTTTAGAAGAAAAAAAAACAAATATATTGCCAGGCTGGATGATGAAAAAACAACATGCAGATCTGGGACATAGGCCTGGCTTTTCTGCACTTTTCTGCAGATAACCCCCCCCCCAAAAAAAAAGACTGCAATGGAGATGGATATATTTTATACTAAACAAGGCAAGTGCCTTCACTGCCTTCTTACTTGTTAGCATTGTCCATTGTGTTTTTTATATCTGTCAGATTTCGACCACAGATTCTGAGCGTTTAAATTACCCCGTAATTACACTGCCTCCGGTGCTTAACGCACTTCCTGTAGCGACCAATCAGCAAAGTTTCATTTTACCGAACTGAAGACAATCTACGTTCTTTCTACGTTAATAAAACACAGGGAGTAGCCTAACTTTAAATCATTTAATCAACTCATTGCTGCAATGTTTACTTAGTGACTATTAAAACAATAATACACACGTCGGCAGCCAGCACCAATTCCACTTCGTCTCGGGTGGTGTGCGCTGTAGATAAGCTATATGTACATATCTATGTTGTCTGGGATAGGGGAATTCCTGTCTATTTCTCACTCACTGTATTTTTTTCCTGTAAGCAGCAGTGGCATGGATAGAAATAAAATTCTCAATAGCAATAACAGCAAAAAGTGCGTTCTTGCTAAGCATTGCTTCATATGTCACCAAATGTAGGTTTTTTTTGGGCGATATATTTTTTACCTTTTTTATTATGCCATTATTGCAGCGGCCCTTTAATAACAACCAAAGTTCGGGGCTGATGGCTGCGCTTCTGTCCCAAACTTTACATTAACCCCCCCCCCTACTGCATTCACAGCACTGTGGTAAATGCGTGCTGTTGCCGTTCACATGAATTATTTATTAGCCCTCCAGAGAGACTATACCATAAAAGTCAGTGGCGCTTACACCCACATAAACACCGGTACCGGGAGGCCCAGCCACGGTGTCAGCCTACGTCTCCTCAAATCCAGTCAAATAAAGCGAGTGGAACACATTCTAGTTAAACTATCAACCAGTTAAAATATGGGAACTAAAATGCTAAAAACTGGAATTGACCGTATAAAGCAGACAAATGGATTTATTCACCGAGAAGGCGTTTACAGTTCGGAAGCACTACAGCAGCCTTTTCCTTTGCGTGTAGTACCATAAAGACAAATGGGTACCAGTCATGCTTTGTAGAACCTTAATTTTTCCATGTTTAATGGAAAGTATCTTGTTAGAACTGGCATTGTTGTCTAACAAAGAAGCGTTTATTAATATGAATCTTGAAATGCATATTAATGATATTCATATTAATGAATTCTTTAATATATTCCAAGTTCCACATACCCACGCAACACATTATTCAGCTGCCATTAACACACACCGCTTTCTACGTCAAATGCTTAAGGAGGTTCCGGACGGATCTGCGCTATGAATCCAATCTGTCTTTCAGTGTAGGAAGATCGTTCTGTCGTTTACCGTTAATAATCCAGGTTAATGGTGCCCTCTAGTGGAAGGACAGTACGGTACACTGACACAAATTTCAAGGGTCACGACTGCAGACACTTCATAGCCTAAAACACCTGGAAATACCTGCCGATATATGATCACTACATTCTCACAGTAGTCTCCCTTAAATTCATTTAAAAAGTCTTATAACACAGCTAATCAGATAATGAAGAGGATTTGAAAGAAACACGAAACCCTTCCAACTTATCGAAGACAAATTAAATCCACCTCTTACACACTGTCATGTGTTCTGTTTGAGGTGCTTCTGGAGGGACTGCTGGCCTGAGAGATCACATCAAAATCATCACTTAGTCAGTGGACACAGCCATCAACCATGTGTGAAATACCACATACTGATGAAGAGCCCTCAGACTAACAAGCCTACTTAAGGTCACGTGGCTTTGGCCGTGTCACAGAGCTAAATGATGCACAAGAATGGAACGCCCCGATAGACCTGACTCAGCCCTGATACAGATCTGAACTTCCATAAATGTCTATGAAGTCAGAGAAAACTATTAGTAACGTCTCAGATTTAACTTTCAATTTTAAAGGTATCTGTAAAACATACCTTTTAAAAGACCATTTATTATTTTTCCTTGGCAGGAAAAACACACCGAAAGATTCCCCTTTGCCACTGACACAGCACAGCAGAGCTCTTCCCTATAGCAAACACTTCCACAAGCAGTGCACATTTACCATTTTATTATTTGAAGTAGGTATAGAGGTAAGAATCATAATTTACAGAAACTTCCATAAGGAGAGTCACGGTGGCTCAGGTCAGCTCCGGTTACACAGAGCTAGCCTTTGGGGGCACCCACTCGTGGATCTTCTTCCGCGTGGTGGAGTAAGGGACGTACTGATCGGACGTGGCGCTCAAGTTGAACTTGTGGGTCTCTGCTATGAATTTCCGGGGCACCGGGGGGTGGGTGGTGGGTGGATCCTCTGTCATGCAGTGAAGCCAGCGGTGCCTGCAGGGGACGCCACAAGCACAGAACTCATCATGGTGAAGTTCCACGGTACTGACTGGCTGAGAGAAGGACTTCGGGTCTCTCCGCAACTGTCACGATATCCAACAGGTGGAAGCCATGAAATGTCAAGGACACAGAGCACAGTACCACCACACTAGTGTGCCTGGTTACATCCTGCACAGCTGTTAAGGGTACTAACAATTAAAGCACAGAGATGTCAGAGACCCTCCTGTTTTCTCTATTGCGGGTTGCTGGTGATGCAACACATTCCAAGCATAGAAGCATTCGCTCGAGGCTATCCACAGTTCCATAAGCACCCAGAGGACCGAAAGCACAGCTCTACCGCGCCGAGAGGAAGCCACTTATTCAGCCCTGCAGACAGAATAGAAGCCAGTTTGTATTTCTCAAATGATTCTTGGCTGGGATCGAACCTGGACTAACTGCGTCAGTCCTGCCACCAATGCCTAAAATTTCCCTGTAAGGTGGAAGACCTGCTTGCAGGGCTGGATGTAGATTAACATCATACCCAAGATGAAGCAACTGCAGGTTAAAGGCCTTGCTCAAGGGCCCAACGGAGTTACCAGCACAAATCCCAAGCCTTAGAGCCACCACTCTGCTTAGGTAAGAAGCTAAACGCAAATGTGCATTCAAAATATGAGTAATGGAAAAGGTTCTACAGGAGCTCTACAGCCCTGAAAAATAGAGCGACAAATAGTTAAAAAGCATTTAGTACTATTTATTCAATTGTTTCAGCAGTATGACATACACCAGTGCAGAAAGCTTACCACTCAGCTGGCACCATACTGCCGTCTACTTCCCACACGGTACGCTTTCCGTTCATTTCCAGCGTGTAAATGACCCATCGGTGGCGACCTGAGACGTATTAAGGAGGAGCACAGTTCAGTTTAGGAAGAAACCTCATATTCAGTAAAAGAATGTATTAAGTTCCCTTATGGTAGACATGATAATCAATAATTAACTTACAAATAAACTTAAGTCTTACCGAAGAAGTTACGCTTATCTTCGTAGTACTTGTTTCCATATTTGTCAACACCAATCAATGCTCCCGTTTTGAGATCATTTACTCTGGAGAAAAAGTACAATGTCATATTATTGAAACAGTGCATGAATGACAACGAATTGAAAAGAAAAAAAAACAACTAGGCTACTATGCTAGCTGCGAATATAGATAAGAAACGTTGGCCTATCCATTCAATGCTCCCTTAAATAGTATTTTACTCTCACTAAAAAGCATACTTAAACATGCTAATTAGTCTGCTGGATAAAGAGTAGAATAACAGAATTAAAAATAATTCGAATCAACAAGAAACGATCCGTTCTTGAAGCAGAGGTCACATATGAGGTCAATCAACTATGATATTCTGAATCATAAACAAGCGGAGATTTTCACCAGGACCAAAAAGCAAAGTCATAAACTGTTCACCTAAATAACTGAAGAAGGAGACCGCGAATCCCTCCGTGACCCCCTAACTGGCCCAAAGCCCTGCGAAAGACTTGAACATACTCCGCCATCTTCAGGCGGAAGCGCAACCGAGAGTAACACCGAAATTCCGCCGCGGATACCAGCGACACAGCAGCGTTCTGCTAAATATTCGTTCCTACGGCGACTACGGTACAAAAAAAAAAAAAAACTGTGCTGTCGAACAGCAATCATTTCCGATTATCTAACACCTATGGAAATAATACATCGTGCATGCCTTAATGATCTTAATACATAATTGTATTTGACTTATGTACTTTTGTATAACTTTTTACTGGTTTTGTCTTTAGCACCGATTCAAAATAGGGTAAGAAACAATATGTATTCAGATTTGACTTGCATATATTTGTTCTTCATTTGAACAAACATTAGTTTGTTTTAAAGAGACATGCCAAAGAGAACAAGGTATTAGTAATGCCTATATTAACTGCAGCTGGCATTTATGGCGAGACCACTGACCGTTCATGAAAGACCACAAATGAGTGCGACCCGTTATGGTCCTTCATAGTTTATTTTATATACATATTTATATATACACACAGTACATAGGGCTTTGGGTCCGTGTACAAGCAGAGCAAGTTGCAGCATGAGCATTATTGTTCAAAGACAGGATAAATTATTAGAAATAAGGTCATAATTTCTATCCCTATCGTTTCTATACAAAGTAGAAAGTCTTGGAAAGGAGTGGTAGAGGGGGAGTACACTGGGGAATTGTCTCAAAAAATAAACTGAATGTTGTTCACATAACCATGATTCAGTCACACAGGACGGACAAAAAAAAAAAAAAAGTCTCAGGGAACTAACAAGAGACTCGCAATTTTATAGTTGCTTAACTGACAGTTTTTTTCCCCCCATAGTGACTTTTTAATATTATTTAACCCATTTACAAATCAGGATCTTTTTACTGGAGCAATGTATCTTGCTCAAGGGCGCCACCTCTGGGACCTCCTCCTCCTTGCACCTGAGCTGGTAGCCTTCGGTGTCTGAGTCCATGTCCCTACCTGGGACCTTTACGAAAGCGAACTCGCTCTTCAAGCGGAGGTCAGTCTCCCCCCCCAAAAGACAACAGGGAGGTGCCAATTTCATACAAGCTACAGCCCACTGCGCTGCCTGGACACACTGCGAAGTGGAGACGCGTTTTCGGTGCCACTCCTGAGGCACCCCAGCGGTACATTAGCTCCGTGGTTTACTGGATGACGGCGGTGACTCCCTGGCTGTTGTAGTCGGTGGACTCCATCTTGAGGATGTAGGGAATGATGCTGTCGATCTGCACGTTGCCGATGAGGCCGGCAAAGAATAGCTCCTCTGTGATGGCGCCGCTCATCAGCCGCAGTGCGGGGAGTCGGAGCAGAAGCTTCGACAGGCTGGGAGGGAGGCAGCGGGGAACAGGTGGGAGTCAGCTAGGGGGTCTCAATACAGCCCCACACCAGACCATCATCACTACGCTGCCCCCATCCAACCCCCAAAAGCAGCCTCAAATATGACCCTAAACTAGACAGTGACACACCAGCCACCTAAGCAACACATGGGACCCTCACCGGTAGGTGTCCTCAGGATACATCTGGGCAACGTAATCCTGCAGCTCCATGTAGGCCTTCTCCTGGAACCTCTGGATCTGCAGGGTGTTGTCGATGCCAGGATGATCTGGAGAAAAAGCGAGACCACAAGCCACGCTCTGCATGAGTGAAATCAAGTCGCCTTTAAACATCCCTTTAATTTCTGGGCCGCCACACCGTGGCTGTTTCCTCACAAGAAGGAAACAGCTACATTGTAGACAACGGTTGCTAGATATTATGCCAATTTTCTGACAATTTTCTGGATATATTATTAAATTTTCTTGACCCAAATAGACAATCCCTCACCAGGGCTGAAGAGGACGATGGCTTTGAGGTAGGCATACTCGTACGCGTCGAGGGACAGCTTGGACATGCTGTTGCAGAACTCCTGCATCCTCCAAATGTGCTCCATCACCAGCTTTACTCGTTCTGCAGAGAGCTTTTCTGGGGAGGTGTGTTCAGCTTCATTAGCATGCTGGGTGAGCTTGACACCAACCACATGCTCAGCGTTACAGGTAACAGGCCTCTGCTTTGTACTATGGACTATTACGTAGGAAGACAGCATGTAACAAAATTACTAAATATAAAGAATCTTGTTAGGTACAGAATATAGATTCTAAGAAAAAGTCTGAGGCTTTTGTGTGTGTTTATAAAAGCTATAAATTACAGAACCATTACTCAAAGGTGCTAGCTAAATCTTAAAGGTGACATTTCACACTCTTAAATTCGTCCCCCTTAGAGGGATTTTTGTCCTGTGAAGTTATACACCCCTTCGCCTTACCTTCCTGCAGGCCGCTCTGTAAGTGGCTGATGATAGCAGCCAAGATGGTGGCCACGTTCATCACATGGGAGCACTGTGCCATGCCGAGGGCGAACAGCTCGTTCCAGCACGCCTTCATCAGGCTGATGTTGCTCTCTTGCCTGGGGGACAGGTGGGGGGAGGGGGCAATATAAAACAGTTGGCAGGCAACAGGGCAATGCACCTTCGCTAAAAGCAGACATAAAATTTCCCCTCTACCCCCCTCCCCACCAAGGCATAAAATTAAAATTTCTTCATGGGAAATTTCCTTCTATCGTGTGCAGACAAGATGTGATGCAAATCAGACCAAAAATTCACACGATACTTTAACTTGGGAAAGTAGTTCTGTCCCTGAATTAAAAGCAAAAGGATTTGTGGGTGTTTGGCTGCATCACAAAGGGTTCACACAACTTGAAACAGAACTCTGCCTTAGGGAAACAAGGAAGAGAGCCACACTGCCAGCGTCCCATTTCCATAAGACATTAATTATGCTTCTGAAAGAAAAAAAAAATAAATCAAAGACGGGGAGACTCTAGGCTCAACGTAGACTTTGAAAGCAACAACCTTAATTTAGCAAAGATGCTCTTTAAGTGTTTTAAAAACTTTCCCATGACCCTGTATTAAGTACGAGGCAGGAAGACGGATCAATGGGTAATTTTGCATTTCAGGCTCTACAAACTCAATTTTCTGTCCCACATCTTTAACGTTTAAAGTATTTCGGCCAAGAGAAAACCTCCAGGATGGGAAGCTCTGAAAAAAGGTGCAGGAAAACATGATCACATATGAGCAGGAGTGGGAAACTGTGGAAGAGTGTAAGCGATGATATGGGAGAAGGGGAGGAGGAACTCACCCCAGGGCCTGGAAGGCAGGTATGGAGCGAGCCCAGTGCATAGACAGGAAGAGCAGGCGAGAGGCCGACTCGCAGATGTAGTTCACGTTGAGATACTCTGGCATGGGCAAAGGCATCATCAGCTGCAGGCAGAAATGCAGGGGAGGCCGGATGAGCTTAGCCCACTGATCCAGGATCAACCTCCGCCATGTCGAAGCCAGGGCTGGACGTCGGCTACCGCTGGCGAACGCGCTCACCTTAAAGGGCACGTGGCTTTCGCAGAGCAGCGGCCCCTCCAGCTCCACGATGCCGCCCGACTGGTCACCCGACACCAGGCGCATGCTGGCCTCCATGGCCTCACCAGAGGCGCTCTCTGCAGGGTTTAGTGCCTTGGCTAGTGTGTCGAACGCTCTGCGGGCAAAAGGCGGGCGAGGTGACATGCTGGTACGAAGCGTCGGCAAGGCACGAACGCCGCTGGAAATGCAGCAGCCGCATTTGACCGTCAATGCAGAGACACCAAATCCATACCGTGTGATGTCGCTCGTATTCTGTTCCTCCGACGGAATCTCCGCTATGGACCCGTCGCCGTTACTCAGCGTCTCCATCCCCGACAGGTCGACGCTGCAGTCCGTCATCTCCCTCGCCTTGTTCAAGTGGGCGAGCGACGTCACCACGTTGGCCAGAGTGCTGAGGTCACCCTGACAGGGGTCACCCTGGTGGGAAGAGAATGCGGTCAGATTCAGGCTGCACAGCAGATGCGCTCGGCGGCTGGACGGAAACCTGAAGAAAGTTTCACAATAAAAACTGAAACACCTGGTTTTAGACAACCATAATTTGTTAGTATGGCGTCAGGCCTTCCTTTTGCAGCCGACACAGCATCCGTTTGTCTTGGGAATGACAGATCCAAGTCCTGCGGTGGCCAGAGGGATCATGAGCCATTCCTGGAGGAAAACGTTTCCTGACTTGCTCCTCCAAAACACCCCAATAATATTCCAATCTGGCGAGTGCAGGCCATGAGAGATGTTCAACATCACTTTCATGCCCATCAAACCCCTGTCACCAGCCTTGCTGTGTGTTTTGGTGCATTATCGTGCCGATGCACGACACCAGCTTCAGTGTACAGCGTTTGAACTACTGGAATAACACGCCCATCTAGAACATGTAGTGGGGCCTAGGGAATGCCATGACACTGCAGCCCAAACCACCACAGTCCGGGTGGTAAACCTCCTTGGGGCTTCTCCACACCGAAACTCTCCCAGATGTGAGAAAGACAGTGAAGGTGGACTCATCTGAGAACCATACACTTCCCATTGTCCACAGCCCAAGGTTTGCACTGGTGGCACCACTGAAACTACGTGGCATTGGCACGAGTGACCAATGGTTTGGCTATAGCAGCCTGACCATGAACACTAACTCTGTAGTGCTCCAGGTGAAAGATTTGGCGGAACTACGTGAGGATATTTTCACCAAGCGCTGTGTGAAAGACGAGCGCCGTCTGAACACGGAACGTGGTGTGGAGAACACACGAGCCGTACCTTTTCGGGGGACACTGGAACCATGATGGCATTCTCCAGCTTGGAGAAAGGCTGCTGGATGTTCAACAACATGCCCGACTCCAGCAGACTCGTAGACCTACAGAGAACAGCATCAGCGAAAGACCCCCCCACTGCACAGAAAGGAGGGACCAACACTGAGCCTGAAAGGCTCCTGCGTCCGGCGGCTTGCTATGTACCTGGCCGTCTCCTTCTCCGTCACGAAGGTGGGCGTGGCCGCCAGGGGGCTGCAGAGGTTCTTGCGGATGTAGATTTTCTCCGTGGAGGCCGCGCAGTTGACGGATTTCTCCCGGGACACCTCCACTGGCTTCCGCTCGCACTGCACGGCTGGGGGGGGGACAGAGATGAAGCTTG